GCAGTCTCTCTCGGAGGCAAATGCAGACGGGTCTCAGTGAACACACTGTTAATAATTATTAAACATTAACTCTGACTCTAACTCTAAACTGACATGAAGAGAATTGTGAACAGCAGCTTTTATAGGGTGAGGAATTGTTAGTGTAAGTAAGCTAGCCTATAGCCAGGGGATACGTAGAGTAGAAGAAGAAAGGTCACAGTAAGATGTGTGGGCCACAGTCATTGCACAAGGAATGCCATTTGATTCTATGCAGAAGAAGGAGCTGAATAACAGTGTGGGCAATGGGCGTAAAGGAGGTACCGGGAAGACAGCCATTAGGAATTCTAAGGAAGTCTCATTAGGATGTGTGTAGATAAATGAAAAGGAGGTCGAAAGTGAAATGTATCAAAAGGGTCTACAGGGTACATGTGCTAGTATTCCTCAGGTCATTCTAGATCCTAGTGTGTGGGAGTAATACATGAACACAGTGAGACTAGTTACTATGCACGTCATGGGTCTGCAAGCATGGTAGTAAGAGTTGCAAGTGCAGGGTGCGGTGCAACACGCGTGACCAATACATTGAAAGACACGCTGCAGCTGTGTAAGTTACTAGCGTGCCAACGCTACACCTTCCTTCTTAAACAGAATCACGTCCTCGTGATTAGTAGCGGTTTGGTGGGCGGATCATTTGGCGGTTCCGGAGATTGTAGGGGTGAACTGGAGGTGGAACTACAGGGGCAGGAGGGAGCGGCTGAACAGGTGGTAGCATTACGGGGTGAATGATTGGAGTGTAAGTAGGTGGAGGTGGAGCAATAGGCGGTAGGCAGACATACCGTTTCAGGCGGTTGATGTGAACAACTTGACGGCGTTTCGTTCGGGAAGCTTCGATGCGGACTGTGAAATTGTCGAGAACAGTGACAACTTGGTGGGGCCCTGTCCATGGAGAATGGAACTTGGGAGACTGGCCAGCAGGAACAACAGGTGAGTGCAGGAATACCAGATCGCCTACGGCATACTGTGTGGGCGGAGCGTTGCCATCATAGTTCCTCTTCTGACGTTGTTGGGCTTTGGCACCTTGGGCTCGGGCAGTGGTGAATGTCTTACGCAGGGAGTCTTGAAGTTGCTGGACGTACTTCGGGGCAGTAGTGGGTGCCGTAGCAGGTGGTGGGCCGTACACGAGATCAATGGGTAGAGTTGCTTCTCGGCCAAACATCAGACGAAAAGGTGTAAACGATGTGGTGTCATTCACGCTCATGCGGTAAGCTAACAGAGCACGTTGCAGATAGAGGTCCCAATCTTGGTGATCATTGATGGTTGTGGCGAGGATTCGCTCCAGTGTTCTGTTAAACCGTTCGATGAGACCGTCACTCTGTGGGTGGTAGGGCGTTTTGCGAGTTTTGTGAATATCCAGCATGGCGCAGATGGACTTGAACAGGTTGGACTCGAACTGGGCACCTTGGTCAGTGTGCAGACTATTTGGTGCACCATAGCGACAGACGAAGCCGTCAACGAAATACCGGGCGACTGTCTCGGCCCTGATGTCTGGGAGTGGAAACGCCTCGTACCACTTCGTGAAATAATCGCCAACGACGAGAATGTAGCGGTTTCCTCGTGGTGTCACCGGAAGCGGGCCCATAATATCCATTCCGACTCGTTGTAGAGGAAATGATGGCTGCGACGTGACCATTGGCGCCCGAGGTGTTGGTACAGGTGGTTTGCGGCGCTGGCAGACTTCACAGGCGCGAATGAACAGGTCAATATCATCGGACATACCAGGCCAATAGAACCGCGGTCGGGCCTGGGACGTTGTTCGATTGGTACCCATGTGACCAGCAGTGATGTGACTGTGAAGTAAGGCGAGCACTTCTCGTTGGAGCGACGGGGGAACTACCAGCTGGAGGGAGTGCGAACTACCATCCTCTGATTCATACTTGCGGTACAGGATGTCGTTGTCGAGTATCAGGCGGTTGAACTGATGGTAGAGAGCGAGACGGAACCTGCTAGAACCTTGCAGTTCAGGGCTGTGACGATCAGGCCGCTGTGACTGCCGGACCCATGTCATGGCTGCAGTGACATCAGGATCCTGGTGTTGGGCCTCACGGATCCACGTTAGTGATGAAGGAGGCAGCGGAGCATCAGTACTAATGGCAGCATTCGTCAGAGCAGGTTCGGCGGGCGGTGGAGGAGATTTGCGAGAGAGACCATCCGCATTAGCATGAGCCTTACCAGGGCGATGGACAATGCGGTAATCAAACATAGCTAAGCGTTCAATCCAGCGAGCAAGCAAGCCATCTGTGCCAGTGAAGTTGTGCAGCCAGACTAAAGCTTTGTGATCAGTGCGTAGTGTGAAGTGTGCGCCAGCAAGATAGTGACGGAAGTATTCACAGAACGTGACAACAGCTAGAAGTTCCTTCCTAGTAGCACTATAGCGGCGTTGGCTATGTGAAAGGCTCTTACTAGCGTAAGCTACAACATGCTCTGTGCCATTGGAATCTTTCTGAGAGAGGACAGCGCCCATAGC